TAAGGTCCATTGTCAACTTTTCCGGGAAAAGGATATTAACACCGGAAGGAGTCACCGGAGGGGTTTCACTCACAAAGGGTCTTTATTCGGGGTCCGTATCTTATGTCCATTGCCGCAATAAAATCGATATGCCCTCGCTCATTATTTTGCGTAAATTGCCTACTTCCGGTCTAAGGGGGTGTTTTTCCAAGTGCTAATAGCTTCCGGAATTGGTTCAAATTATAAAACAAGATGTATCTTGCCACTACCTATCATCCCTCCAAGTTTCATCTCCCTGCGTTCATCGGTGGCCGAGAAACGACTTCCAGAAGTTACGGGTGGGTTTGTTTACTTTGGGCATAAAACCGGAAGTGGGGGTCTTAGGGGTCTGGGGTTCCAAACTTAAGCTCCCCTTAACTAGGCCTACAACATACTAGAATTTGAGCCCAATAACGCCGCTAGTTTCCGAGTTCTGGTAGGGCCATTTACACTTCCGGGGACCGTTATCACCTGCCCCCCAAGGGTCTGAGGGGTCCCGTTTTTTGTATGCCCGTGTCAAATCATTTATAGTATCGCTCCTCTGAATTTCATAAACCTAGCCACTGTAGTTCCTATTTGGGGGTGGTCCGCTGATTTTACTTCATCTGAGTTTTCTGCCATAAGAGGGACTATATCTTTGAAGATTCAACTATTTCGAACTCTATCTTTTGTTTGCTCTTCTACTTAACTTAATGACGAATCAATCTTACGCTCAGGTTACTATAGCATGTACTACAGTAGAATCACCAATTCTACACAGACAAATGAAAATAGGCAAATCTTTTTTTCTAATTTAAAACAGCCAGCTGTTTTCCAGATGCGAACCGTAGTCGTTGCCTGTAGAGCAAGTGCCCGTAGAGCAAGCGTGCTGGGAAAAGTTCAATTTATTATAGCTCCGACTTGAAAACAAGACTTGATAACGCTTGATGATCGCCAGCGTAACACAGAAGCTAAGCGGAGCTTCGCAACACTTGTGATGCAAGAAATGAATGAAAATCATGAAAAGCCTTCAGAAAAATTGAAATCAATTAGTAAACGGCATGAAAGGAGCCAAATTTTGGTTCGAAAACTGTTGAGACGGAAACAAAACTTGTCATAAAAAGTTTCATATTTTTTAAAATTAAAATTTTACGAACCATCCAAACTGAAGCACATAACCACATAAAGATATATTTTGCCTTCAAAATTACGCTAAAGAATTTGCTTTAGCCATATAACACAGCTAAAACAGTTTAAAAATAACAAAAAAAAACGGCTGATTTTGAATTTCATTGGCAAAATTACGAGCTTGTGAAATTTCAGTTATAGTGGAACTATTTGAATTGGAACAAAACCCATGTTTTAAAAAGTAAACCATTCCAAAAAAAGTTAGCCGTTTCAAAAAAAAAGAAAATTTAACTGACAGAAACTAAGACGAAAACCATAAACCCAAAACAATTGAGAATAAATAAATAGATAAATGATAGTAGTTTTTCTTGAATTTTTTAAGAAATATGTCACATTAGGAGCAAGAATGCGTCCAGCAGATAAATGAGTCGTCTGCGAAAAGTCATCCATGGGAAAAATAAACCGAGTAATCGATTGCAATATCATTGCTTATCGCAACGATAGTTAGTTACTATTCCGAGCAAATAAACTCAAAACTTCCTGGACAAAATTTTGAAATTAGTTTCTTCAATTTTCAGTTTTTGAACAATTTGGTGTTCTTGATTTGCCCTAATTGGAGTATTTGAAGACTGGATTCAAGTAGTTGAAGATTTGAATGAATATCACTATCAGTTAAATTATTTGTAATGTTGAAAAACTACAGTTGAAGCACATTGGTGAAATTACACACAGTCTTGTTTGAGCAATAGATTTTGGTAGAATGAATAAATACCCAATCAAAAGTGACAATGCACTCCGTAAGATTAGAATTTAGAAAATCAAGACCACTAAGAAAAACTCAAGTTTAGAAATTAGAAAAAACTTATAGAAAAACTACTAAAAGCAACTGGAACCTGAACCCGATACCAATATAAATAAATGTCACAGGCACTAGAAAATTGTATGTAGTTCATGCTTATGTATATAAAAGACAGACAACATCGCATTTTATTGGAACAGACTGCCACCATTCTGTTTCAAAACAATAAACCGTAAAATAAGTTGGTCACATACATTTTTTTTAACCACATTCTATATTTTTTAAAGAAAAAAAGTAGTTTCCATCGAATCTGGTTCTGCAAATTTTTTGTGCTGAACTGCCAAATTTGAGTTGAGCTTTTTTGTGTTGGACTGCAAAACAGGTGCGAAGTAATTAGAACTATCACCGTAAACTAATTTCTTAAGTATTATGAAACTGCACCATCAACGAATCAACAAGAGTTGTCAAATTACTTACGTTGTTTATCATTCGGCTAAATTTTCAAAATTAAAGGTTCTTTTTTAAAGAGCGACCCCACATCAGCTTTAGCAGGTCGCAAGGTTAGCTTTTCTATCAATAGTCACATAGTAAGCATTTAAAACAGTTCTTGATAACTTTGTCAATCATAACCCCAAATCTGGCATTGGTAAATTTCGTAACTGTTGGGAATGGAGTGGGAATAGAAAATGTGTATGACCAAACTCATATTTCAAGATTGACGCATACAAATACGCTTGCGCGGAACTATGTCAAGATTTGAAGTTCACATGTTATACACAGAGGCGAAGTTGCACTTCGCATACACAAGCAAAAATATGACCGACAACGCTACCGAAAAAAAAACGAATGAGTAAAACTTCGAGTCTACTAAATTTCTTCAGCGACGCACGCCAATTATGAGTCTAGATAATTGCTAAGTGACACGAGCCAATTATGATGCATTAGCAGTACCAGTCAATTTGAAAAAAAAATTACCAACTAACATGCCTCAATTTATAAAGCGGACGCATTTTTACTAGCCTACGAAACAGGTCATTAAAAAATCTGACCCTGCCGAGGTTCGAACCCTCTTACTTTGCTGCTGGTCTTCTTCCGTACCTCTACGCTACAAAACCATGATACCTTGAAGCTAAAATGCTATTCGTAGTATAATAGTCTGTGTTAATATCCACAGCATTGACTGTACTTAATAGCTGGATCAAAATGAACACTTTCAAAATGAACACATTTTGTCACAACAATTTCAGCGCAATAATATTTGCAATTGCTTAGGTTGAAAAAAATAAAGTTCATGCTATAACACAATCTATACTTGTGTGATAAAACATGTTATAAAAGATAAATTCACATGTTAAATGAAAATTTTGAAGAAAATTTTTTTATGAACGTAAAACAAATTGTTTAAGTGAAGGCATTGAAGGAAACCCCATAGGATTCCCACAAACAAAATCGATTCCTACTGCAGTCCTGGAAGATATACATTAAAACAATTTCTTGCTAAGGCGTCACTTCAATTTATAAACATAGACAACAGACAATTGAAATAAGTTGTTTATTGCATACAAACAGCAAAAGACTGCATCAATTTTCGCAAACCAAAGAAAGAAAAGATTCTAGAACAACTTATGATTGACAGTGTTTTCCAATAAAGAAGCTAATTTGAGAAAACTGGATCAATAGATATTTTTTTCTGCTAGAAAATCTGAAAACTAAATTCCTCTTTTGAAACTAGAAGTTGATCACGTTTTTTGTGATAGTTACACTTATTCTGCTCAATAGAGGGATTTGCTTTCCTTTGACAAAAAAAAGCAAGGTCAAACTGAAAAGAAACAGAAATTCAAACCGTTTCAACCAAGCAAATGAAGGGCAATGAAAAGAATTCATAAGTCAAACCGCGGAAAAGTAAAATTGATCCTAATTAAAATTTGAGCCATTTCCTGAAAAAATTATCAAGACCTATTTAACAGTCTGAACTAAGTTCCTCGATTTTTAAGAGAAAATTTCTGCCATTGAACGAGTAGCAAATACCGGTCCAACTACTCTATCCCTGCCACATAATGACAAACGCTGAAAATAAACAGACTTAACCTGATTTAAAGGCGGATTACCATTTCATTTGAAACTGGAAACAGAATTTAAAGCTGAAATCAAGAATCCTCCGTTTTCTCGAAACCAAAGCAATTTTTGTGAAAACTCTGAAAGTTGAAAAGATTCAACTATTAAGTAAAAGTCACAAATACAACCATTTGAAAACAAAAATTAATTGCATTTCACACAGAAAAGCTAAAGAACGGTAAGAGGAATTTTGTTTGTTTTAAATACGAATGCATGAATTTAAATGAAGTATAGATTTTGTATTTTAAAAATCTCCCAATATACTCCGAAATTTTTTGTTATTATTTTACAGCAAGCAAGTTGCGTTTTACGAATTATTTGATGAATTAGAAAAAAAATCAGCTGTTTTAACTTATTAGTAATCAAACTGTTGAATTAACAACGCTTCCAGCTGCAAAAATGCCACCAAAACTATAATATTTTCGACTTACGTTGAAAAAAAAAGATTCATAGTATATCTCTACGATTCAGTTGTGCAATGCTACTTAACTCAATAACTTGAGGGTTTTCTTTGATGTATCTGAAAGCTCACAAAGAACCACACCCTACGCCATAGTTCTTTTTCAATCGAATGTTTTTAATGCTCGAAATAGAGCGAGAACTATCTTAATTGGGAGTGAATATGCGATTGAATCAAAGTACCAAATTCAGCTATCTGACAAATCTTCAAATCAACTGACTGACTTGACAGAATCTGTTTTAATTGCGAGAGCTGAAAATTTTTCCAATATAATTTTCTTGAAGAAGTTTTGCCAGGCACTTAGTACGATATTACCTTGCAGCTAAGTTCGAAGAGTGAAGGGACTTGCTCGCTCCTTTACACAATTACATGCACAGAGACGCGCTTACACAAACACGCACGCAGATATGCTGCGAATGGATGATTGAGTTACTCTAACACAACTGAGCGGGCAAATCCTGCAGTTTTAGCTTTCAACTATTGATGTTGAAACAAACAGGCTAGCTAAATAGTTAATTTTTCCTGACCACGAGTATAAACTAGATTATGAAAAACTTACATAGTTATTTTTGGATTCAAATTCAGCATATGCCTGTTACCCAAATACATTTTGCACTGAATGATAAAAATTTGTTTGTTAGTTTAGGTTCATTCGTTGTCATTATGCGGTTAATGAATAGCGTTGCTTCAGTATCAGCTGTGGTCTAGAGTACTGAATGAGTCCAATAATTCTTGCTGTTCCATTGTTGTGATCGGGAGTCCCACTCGGCAGTCGTGAATTATTGTCCTCATCTAAACAATGTATCAGTCTAAACTCTTAAATGGTATCAGCGAACAATTTAAAGCTCGTCCGTCATTTCAGTCTACACACCAATACTAACGTTAAATATTATCGTGAAACACCCTTTAAAAGCTCTTAAAAAACTGTGCTGAAAATATGGCTATTTTCCGAAAAAAAAATCAAATTTCTCTGCCTCTCACAGATTCCTGCCAAACTTTTTTTATATCTAAAACCTTTAACTCACGAGACTGGAGAAGAAGGGGACCTGGTGTGGCTTCTCCGTGTACCTGTCGTAGTGGTCCAGACTGTCCTGCATCCGGAGGGCCAGAGAGTCATAATTGTCACGCACGATGCCCAGTACCTATGAAAAACATTTCTACCAACTTCAATGGATAAAGTCAGATAACCATACTGTTGTCCCGTAAGCACAATTATGACTGACGTTGAACGTGTAAAATGCAAAAATTTGTCACTAATACCTTGAATGCAAAGTGGATTGTCTAAGTGGTATCCACGTACCTGGTCAATGCTGAGAGAGGAAAGATTGTTTAACTCCTGGAAATCCTTGATACGGGGGTTAAAGTGCGCGATTATAGATCTAAACAACCACATCAGTTATTCCGCGAAATCGTCTGCTTTGTTTCAAATTATGTAACTCAGTTCTCTTAAAACCATATTTACCTTATGTTAGTTAGAGAATGCATAAGGCGGGCTGCTGATTCGTGCAAGTTACCATTCGATCGAACGTGCTGCAGGGCTAAAGTAATGATTCTCAAGGAAATTACTGCCATCACTATGATTAAGAAATGCTAATTGTATAAAACGTGATTAACCTACCGACAGCATACATATCGTCAAATGTGTTATACATGCGTAGTATCTCGTAGTACAGTTCATCATATGAGGAGGGACTTGGCAGAAAGGCGTCTCCAAAAGTGATAAACAGATTCAACACGCCAACTGCCTAAATCACGAAAAAACCTTTATGACCTATGTTGATGTTCTTTAATTCCATTATAGAGTATTATCGAGTACATAGACTATTCTTCTAGATTCGAAGTTAAATTTTTGGACTTAAGTTAAGTAATTTTTTTGAGTATGATTTATCGATCAATAAAACTTGATGACCCAACACAAAGTTGTTGTTTGTTCTTGTAGAAGGGGAATTTTAACATTATGCGACTTAAACAGAAATTGAATCAGTAGTACATGTGAAAATAAATACCTACCCGAAAAGCCAGGTGGAATATGTCAAAAGAATCCAAAAGCTCCGAGCTGTTCGCAACAAGAAACTTCAGAAAGACGATAAGCGCTAAAAAATAGAATAAAAATAAAGCCTCTCAAAATACCATTTTCGATAAGCCGGAGGAATTTATTGAATTGAGGCAGTACCGGATTTACGGGGGGGGGCTTTTTTCAGTGATTCGGTCTTCTGCCAACCCAAAGGGTCCCTACCCCCTATGTACTTTTTGAGAAATACATTTCTGCCTGACTGGCTTTAAAAATTTCCCTAAAGGAGTCAATATATATACTAATTTTTAGGGGAGCTCGCGGCGAATAAACGCAATTTTCGGCCAATATTCTCCAAGTGCCTAAAAACGATTTTTTCTAAAAATCGCCTGCGGCGCAGAAAATTTGGTCGAAATAGGGTCTTCATAGTGATTTGGATTTGGGAGAGCTCAGAAAATCTATTTATTAGACCTAAAAACACACATCACAGTCACATTCATGCCAAGAACTCTCCGTTCTATGTAATTGATTTGTAATAAAAATATGTACTCGTAACTTTTTACGATAAACTGGTGCTTGGAGTTAAAGGGAGAAAACACAAACAGAGCACCAACTTGACAAAGCTGCACTGAAAACCACACTTTCGTATAAAAAAAATGAAAATATTCTGATCGAACAGTTTGTAACTTCTGATAATATAGGATGATTTCTGGTTTTTAACACAAAAAAAATTCAAAACAAGAACTATTGTTACCAAAAACTAGTTGAAACAGAAACAGAAAAAAGGCATGTAGCCTTGGAACAATCTATAATTTTTTTGCGAGAAACAATATTTGTATGATATTATGCTATTCGTGAAATTGTAAAATTTTGATTTATTATTATCCACAGGTATTGAGAAAGCTGTCAAGTTCCTCAAATTTTCAATTAATAATGCTGATTATGTTGTTATGCGTATATGAATGCACATAGATGCACTCAAATCTCGAAAACAGCAGCTGATTTGGTGCCGGGGGGGGGGGGGGGTCAGCTGACGCCTTCATCTTTCTCTGGGAATCGATTCCTTGATCAACCAAAAAGTTACCCCTTTGGTAATATTTTAGAACAATTTTGTGACGCCTTTGGCGCCAATATGTACAAATTTTGATTGAAGAGAGCGCGCCAAAAAACCGCAATTTTTGGTCAAAACTTTCCAACATGTGACTAAAAACGTCCCATTTTGCCTGTTTTTTTTTCAAAATTGCTTGCGGCACAAAAAACTTTAACAAAAAAGGGTTTTTGTGATTTGTGCGAGCTGAGAAAATCAAATTGGTCGGTTTCCTAATTTTTTTTGAAAATCCATTCCCTTCCCCCGCCCGAGGAAATCCTAAAATCCTAGATCCGCCCTTGCTTAGATAGTTTACCTTGCCATAACAGCTGCCATTGGTATCCGAGTAACCTGATTTTGTTCTTCTTCTGATGGCAAATAATTCGGTACACTACTGCAAGACTGAACCTAAAACAATCGCGAAAACAACTGACTTTTGGCCGAGATATTCAAATTTTGTTTTTAAAAACTGTTCTGGACTACACTCACGCGTGTAGTTCGTATGGCAAACTCTTTTTCAATTGCGTTGAGATGAAATTACACAGAAGATCTGAATGAAAAACAAAACTCAAGAAACTATTTGATTCTAAATATGATTTCCATTTGGGGTTGTCGATCTATTAAAGTCTCAGTGAAGTTAAAACTTATAGAAAAATTTAATAGCTTACCAAGTAATGAGACAACAAGTGGAACTGATTTGCGAGGTCTTTCAGCTCCCGGTTTCTTATGTCTCATCGGCTAAACAAATTACCGCGTTTACCGTACTTTCTATCCCAACAATGCAAAAACTATTCCTTTCTACTGCTGATTTACATTATCCGGACAAAACGTATAAAACTTGAAATTTAAAACGCGTTTTTGTTCCAAAAATGGTTGATTTTAGACAAAAAAAATGAAGATAAAAGTTGCTTAGAGTTTTAGCAGATAATATGGTGTAATTTGCTTTTCGAAATTCGGGCCCAAAATTTTACCTCAAAATGGATTATTTCAGGCTTTTTTAGTCAATCAAACTTACGCTGAAACTACCAGGTCAATTTCTGATAAAATTATATAACAGTGAGCCTCTTATAGAGCCCAACGCATTTTACGAAAGGTTTATTTTAAGGTTTATATTTCTTGTCTATCAAACAAAAATAAATTAAAACACTTTTTGGAGATTATACCCATCCTCAAGTTTGTTGGGCACTATAAGAGGCTCTTTTTTATATTTTTCTTTCAGTAATTAACTCGGTAGTTTCGGTGTAAATTTCAATTGACTAAAAAACCAACAATAATCCATTTATGGGGTAAAATTTTGGGACCGAATTTCAAAACATAGCCAACAGACAAGACAGTTGGAAAAGAGTCACAGATCGGAAGAAGTAGAAAAAAAAATAATAATAATTACTTATTTTTTTGAAAAATCTTAAGAATTTTACGGAAAAAATAGATACCCTTAAAGCTCTTTGAGTTACTAGAACAATTTATGATTAGAACTTTTTTGATTAAATTAATTCAATTTGAGAAAACTGGACCAATGGGTAAACTTTTTAAACCACTGGGAAACCTGAAAACTAAATTCCAAGTTTTTCGTGATCTTTACACTTTTGCTGTTCCAAAGGAAATGAAGTGAACTCAAAAAGAAATCATAAGTCAAACTGCGAAAAAACAAACTTGAGCCTGAACAAAATTTGAGTCTGAACTATGTTCTTCGAGTTAAAAACAAACTACACCATATTAATTTTACCAAGCACGTTTTGTTTTCATCATTTTTAGTCTAAAACCAACTCAATTTGAGAAATATGCGTTTTATATTTCAAGTTTCATAAGTTTCATCTTCAATTTTTGTTATTTTCAGTTTATTTATCATTCAGTTTCATTTTCTATTTTTGTTAGTATTATAATGGTTTTAACTGCTCACTGGCTGATAGAGGTTGACCCTGAATGTGATTGAGCTGTCGTGTAAAAATGTGTTGGCGTACTGGTCTTCCACAATACATGTAACAATAATTAGACACAATTTGGAGTTTGCAAACTTGGCAGGGTCTTTAGTGTCGTTCATTATGTATGACATGTACTCGAAGAAGGAGACTAGGATGTTACTCGGTTCTGCACTCCCGTCCACGCCTACTCCCCCACTATCACCCTGGGCACTGAGATGATTTTGTTGATCTGCTTCGCCACCTTCGAACATAATAATCAGTAGTTAGAGACGAAAACCTAACGCGTTAAGCTAAAGTTAAACATATAACCTTAGAAGACATAATTTTTACTCGTTTTTCTTAATTGGGTATATGCTTCACATGTTGAATGTTTCTACCAACGTTTTTTTGAGTAATCAAACTATTGAAAGATCAACTTATTTATTTATTGAACAGCCAACTGACAGTTGTGAAAAAGTAATGAACGTAAGCAAACTGAAAAAAAAACAACTTGTTTTTTCAAAAATCTAAAATCTTCAACTTTTGAATTTCGAAAAAAAAATAGATGGATATAAAACTCTTTGAATTTGTAGAACAATTTATGGCGGACACTTTTTTGTTAAAACTAACCCAATTTGAGAAAACTGGATAAATAGGTAAAACTTTTATTTCGCTGGGAAATCTGATAATTATGGAACCTGATCTGAACTACATTTTATTATTGGATAAATTGGATATTTTACCACTGTAAAAAATTTAATATTAACCAATCATAATCCATCCAACTAACAACCCACTTATTTGTAAGTGCTGAAATTACTTGTAATTTCAGCACCAGAGAGATTTGAATTTAACTTAGAAATTAGTTGCCTCTCCAAGAGAACTTCAGCAGTTGCAATAAGCCAGTATACACTAGATCTATTGAGCCTAGCAGAGACTAGTTAAACACCCTGAGACTAGTAGATATAAGAGTAAGATTAGGATCGGTATTAGACTAAGAAGTTGCACGAATCTATCCGGCCGAAAATAAGATAGCGTGACGAGCAGACGGTGTACCCTATCCGAAATTACTCTATGAGTTAACTACTTCGGTCCTAACTCATCTGGTGCGACTATAAGTCTCGAATAATTAGACAAAATTAGACAAAACATTTTCAAAATGTTACACGATAATAACTTAATCGAAATGTCTCTACGACTCAATAGATCAGAGCCGATATTCCGAACAATACTAGAACTACCTGGTTTCGGAAGAAGACCTCGGACAAGAGACGATATACGACAACGTAGAAACTTACCATTTAGTTTTATGGTTGTACGGCAAAAGCCAACACAAACTTTTATATTTAGAATCTTATTAGCAATGAATTTAGATTTTCAATTGCAAACATAAAATTTTGAAGTAAACCTTCATGACCATTTCAGGCGCTAAACAAAACTATTAATGTACAATAACGATTGATAAAAATATCTCAGATCATTTTCCTAATTTCTGCAGTATTATATAAAACATATTTGAAAAATATTTATTGAAAATAAAAATAAAAATTAGTAGCATGACAATAAATAGTTAGTAATAAAAAATCAACTTGTTGTTCCAGCTTCATCACCTAAACATAACAGCAATCATAAGCTCACTAACATCATTGAAAAACTAAATCTTTTTATCAAATAAATTTGAACCATTTTAAAATTAAAATCACTTAATTTTAAAAATCAGATCAAGGCTTCTCCTTGGATCTTTATAAATTTTCTATCTCACTAAATTTAAAACCTGATCATCAAGTCCTATACTTGGATCAAAAAGAACAATTTTGTCCTCCCCACCCACTTAGCAAGTGTCTAACGACCTCAAACGTCGATTCACTATCCAACCTTTTCAAAAGACCCAGGACTAATAGAAATTTTTAAACAAAACTAACCATTCAAATTAAGCTAAACAGTGAAGAACTTCGGTTATTCATCCTTCACTTGAACCCTCCTCTTACCAGACCCAGGATAGATCTTAAACTTAGTAAGTTTAAAATAGTATCTAACGAACTGCTTGCGTTCTAATTATACCTGAACCTTGTGGATCGATTTACTATTCTCCAACCCTTGAACACAATCACTACCCCTAAGTAAGATTAAGTAAGTTAACACCTTAACTTAGACTAGCCACGAGAAAGTAGAAAATCATTCTCCGGAATCGATATACTTTTCTCTCCAACCCTGAACAAAAAGACCCAGGTTAAGCTAACCAAAAAATCGTAAGGACTGACAGTCTAGGAAAATAGAAATAACTAACAACTTCTTGCATCCCTCATCCTAAACCTTATGTCATTCAAAAATTAAGGAAATAAACAAACAATCGTTTTACACAATTGTGAACTAGATAACCAAAATTACGATCTTGTAATCACTCCACATACACAAACAGTTGGATACATTCGAACAAAACGACAAACAAAAAAAAGAAAAATTATAAACAAACAAAGACAAATCACACGAAAAAGATTTTCAAAAAAGAGAAACGCATTTTCTGAATCAGAAGCCAACAGTTTAGACGAACTATACAAATTAAAAGAACCAATAGATAAAAATTGTCCCATTCATGATCAATTATATTTTTCCGACTCAGAAACAACTTCAAATTCATCAAAAAGAGGAAAAAGAAGAATAAAAAAGCAATATAAACACAAACCAGTACACTTGTATAATTGGAATCAACCAATTAGACACATTGATAGTTATATATTACCAGTCATCAAACGAAAAAATGAGCCACACTCAAAGTGACGAAAGTCCAGATGAAGAAGCAGTTTTTCTCTTTCTTATAGATTCACTCGATGATAGAGGACAAACACGATTTTGTAAGAACTTGCTCGTAAATTTGTTTGAACCAGGAATCATTCCATGCAAAGCAGAATTCCCAGATGTAAAAATCAAAAGACATATGTAATCTAACACAACAATATGGAATCTACACCATAGAATTCAGCACACCAAATACAGCCCATCGTAAATATGTAATTCAAACAGACGATATTGAATTAGAATTTTCAAAAGTATTCCTAGAATATATCAAAAGCATACAATATCATAATTCACAAAGAGCAAACTCCATATTCACTAACGAAGTTTTTGCAGTAATATATAGTTATATATCTATATTGGAAAAAACAGAAGTTCAATGTATATCACCAACTGAAACATCAAAACATCAAAAAACGAAATGAAATCACAGTATTTTCAACATTTCTACATATAATTCGCGAAAATTTCACTAAAGAAGATGTTTCACAAAACACAACATGATTTACAAAAGATTTTAGCATGGTTTATAATTGATTATTTCGCCCACAATTTAGATTTAATTTCACAAGCAAGAAAAAATTTCAGACCTCAAAATACCAATGACGACACTGTTTTTTCAGAACAATCAGATCACGTTTGGGACCCTGACTGGTCTCATCCAGCATTTCTGAATATTCCACAAGATATCTCGAGTCAAGCAATAAGTACAATATCTTTCCACAGAGATTATGTAAAAGTAATACCATTAACCATTGACGCAACACCATTAAATTATAATACGTTTTTACCTGATACACGAAATAACAGCTTAAATTCAACAGTCAAACATAATGAAAATCTCAATGGAACCAGAAATCTTACAAAGCAAGATATTCAAACACCATCACACTTCATAAATGAAGAAATCGTCCAAACAACAGCAACAACTACACAACAAAGTAGTTCACCAATACACCCTAATCTGACAACACCAAGAAATACAAATACATCACTAACACAGGTAACCTTACAATCAACAGTTAAACCTTCGGTTGCTCCAAAATATTCACATATGGACTACCAAACATATAGACCAATGACAATACCGTCAAAACACGAAAACCGTTCACAAGAAACACTTTTGCAGAACACAATTATAATTATGCTCACCAACCAAAAACAAATCAACTTCCCCAAAAAAATACACAAAATTTAAATCAAGTATGTTCCCATTATTGGAATCGCCCAAAAACATCGACCAATTCAGTAAATTTTCCAGAAAATCCACAACCTACACAGTATTATACTGAAAATTACCCATTTTTTCAACAAAATAAAAATATAAAACATACACCATATAACACAAACTATTTATCATCTGATGATGATGATTATCATCAACCAGATATTTTTGCACCATATACTAAAGAATACCGCTTCCATATTACCTTCAGCAACATGAAATCACAAAAAATCAACTTTCAAATTTTTCACAAATGCCAAATGCCGCAGAATCACTACAGATGACTATGAATCCATACCTCATGGGTGGATCATCAATAACATCGAATAAACCCTTAATGGTATTCACAGGAACAGACCCTGAATATTCTGTAGAAGATTATCTAAATGCAGTAACAGCAAATTTAATTTTAAATATAGGACCCGAACCAATTAATACGCCACTACATCAAAATGGGATACATAGACGTACAGCATTAATACAAACAACCCTAGATGGCTCAGCTCAAAAATGGTTTTCAGTATTACCCATAGAAATAAAATCAGACTGGAAAAGATTCACACAAGAATTTTCAAAAATGTTTGATTCTGAAAAAAACAAACAACATCAAAGAGTTTTATGCAACGAAATCCGCAGATTACCGAATGAAACAATTAAACAATTAGCAGTACGAATCGAAACACTAGTTCGAAAGCATATTCACTTAATACGCATGATTACAAAAACACAAAAATGACAGAAATTTTAATGATGACCTTGACACCTCAATTAAGGAAAATAGCTATAAAAAAGAGAGCATCTCATCCTTCCTCAATTCGAGAACCAGATTTAAATTTTCGAAAATTAGCAGATAAACTAGAACAAGCAGAAATCACAATGAAACTCGAAAAAACAGAAAATCTAAAACTACAATATGTTAATCGCATTGAAACAAATACTACACATAAATAACATACAAGAATCAGACACAGACCTGATTGAAAAAATCACTGAAATACTAAATATCTACGAAAAACATCCAAACTTTAAAGGCAAACCATCTTTCAAAAAATGGTGTAATTATTGCCGACTATACGGACACAGTATTTCCGAATGTAGACAAAAACAACAAGACAATCAGAATAAACCTCAAAAGCACAAAGAACCAAATAAATCATTCTATCAATACATGAAAAAAGACCAGAATCTACCAAACAAAAATATACATAGTAATAACAGTTCAGGAAAACCACTTCCGAGCAACT